GTAGAGAGAGAGAGAGAGAGAGAGAGAGAGGAGGAAATCACTACTTCTTCATCTACTCTTAGCTCTCCTCTTCCGCATTTAGTTTTTGTTGATTAGATTAATCGAGTTTTTCTCATTTTAGTCCTTTTAGCTGATAGATTACTTTCTCGAAGAATTCAAGAATCCTTCTCTTCTTGTACTCTTCCACTTTTGTCAAAGTTTCGAAGATTTAGATAAGAGGTTTTCGGTTTCGATCCTCCCAATCTTATTATTATTATTATTATTATTATTATTATTATTATTATTATTATTATTATTATTATTATTATTATTATTATTATATTATTACAAGCTCTCGATGCTGACGAATCGATCACTGTTACTTTATCATTATTTTTGCCGTTCGGTAGTAAAAGTTACTACCGAAAGTTCGAGAGCGGGGAAGTAGAATTATAGAAGCTCTCCTCGAATCCGGTAGTTGTCGAAGATGTAAAAGCTTTGGTCGTTAGACAGGTTTAACGAGTTGTTTAGTTGTTTTCAATCATCAACAAATACGTAATCACGTTACGATGCGCACGATTAGTCAACCACCTTTTGCGCGAACGTTACTCGCGACTTACTGATGACTAGATTTTTAGTCCTCTACTAGAACGTCAACCTTTATTATCTTGACATACCGTATGTGATGAACTTCGAACCACGAATTACTGGACGAATGACGGGGCTGACGTTCAGTGTAACTTTCAAAAGTAATATTACCTTAGCTAGAAATTAAGTTGAGAAAAAAGGGGGATTAAAAAAAAATCGACGAGAAAGAGACAGAGACAGAGAGAGAGAGAGAAGAAAAAAAAGGAAAATAATAAACGAAATATATAACCACGTTTCCTTTCGAAGCAAGAATTGGCAAGAATTGACAAAAATTACTTGTTCTCGTAGAAACAAAAGAGAGAAAGGAACAATTGGCGTATGGAGAGAAGGCGTACACGATTCATATCCTGCGAAACGAACGAAAACGAATGGCAATAAGGCTTAAGGCGAGTAAAGGAAGAGGATTACCTTCGGCGGGCGGGGGTGCAGGCGCAGCCTCCGCTGGGGGCGCAGCTGGGGCAGCCTCGGCCGGCGCTGCAGGTGGCGCTGCCTCCGCAGCAGGCGCTGCAGGCGGAGCACCTTCGGCCGGAGCTGGTGGTGCCGGGGTTCCTTCCGCTGGTGGCGGTGCACCTTCCGCTGGTGGCGCTGGTGCGGGCGCGCCTTCACACAAAACTACATCAGTCTCTTCGCAATCCTTCAAATTCTCGACCGCTTAATTAATCAGACGAGAATGAATTAACCGTTTGCGCTCGAGGCTACTCTCTCGATCAGTTTCGATTTGCTGAATAGATCTTCCTTGTGGAAGATCCTTGTTTCTTTACTCCTAGTGGTGATTCTTCGCCACTACTTGGATCGTTGCAGCAATTCGAACGACAATATTTATTTATGTTTGATTTTTTTTAAAATATCGAATAGATTCCTAAACTCTTTAAGTATAATCTTATAAAGTAACAGAATAAATATACTATTAAATGGTTAGATTTTTATGTGAAATAAGACCTTGGATCGAGTTTGACGTTCGTGGCGATAGAAATATTACTTTCAAAGATTCCGAGTTTTGTAAGCGTGGAATACTGTAATGAAATTAGTTCAATCGGAGACGAGTTCGATTTTTCGTTATTAAATAATGATTTCTATTCATTAAAAAATTGACGATAGAGAGAAAGAAGGACAAGTTATTGGGACATTAGTTCGAGATGAATTTTTCGTTATTAAATAATTATTTCTATTCATTAAGAAAGATTTGTAACGACATTTTATCGTGATATTTGCCCCGAGCATGCTTTTTCTAGTAATCACTTCATTATTATTAAAATATCACACAACAAATATAGATTTTTAACAAATCCAACCTTTCTTTATACGTAAAGATAGACAAAGATATTAAAATATGAAACTTTTATACGTTGATATGCACGTGAAATCATTATAAGTTAGCTAAAAAATTCGAGCGAAGCCTTGTTTCGTCGAGCGCGAACGGTTCAACTAAGAGATTAAACGGAGCGAAGGAAGAAGGTGGTAAGAATAATAATAATAAGAAAATATATGGATCGGTCGCAAACGAGTTTTCACGAGAAAAGACGACGGGGGACAAGATCACCTTCTGTCGGTGGTGGTGCCCCTTCGGCGGGCGGCGCACCTTCCGCTGGCGGCGCACCCTCCGCTGGCGGCGCCCCCTCGGCCGGTGGCGGTGCGCCCTCGGCGGGAGGCGCACCCTCGGCTGGGGGCG